ATTCATGCTCATTTGAATTTTAAATAAAGTTTGAATTAAATTAATCATTCCTAATTTAAAATTCTAATTCAAGCAAGTATTAATTTCTCTCTTAAAACACTCCCCTCTTTGAAGCCACCGGCCCCTCATCTACAAGTTTGAATTTCAAATTCAAATATCCTCTTGATTACTTTTCTAAATTAGTCCATTGTTAATTTGGAAAGCTTCTTAAATTGTATTCAAATAGATTTGAATTTCAAAAACCTTTCCGGATTAATAAATCTAATTTAGTAAGCCCCTCCAATCCCTCCAAATCTGAAATTAATTTCAGATTTAATTCTCAATCCCAATTAATGCTTGATTCACATTCATTGAATCTAGACACCTCATCCTTCCCTCTCACTTGGTCGGTCCCTCTCTCCTCTCTATCCTAATGATTTTCTTCCTAATTAAAGGCTCTAATTAAGGAGATAATTAATTCCTCTATTCCCTCCCTTCTTTCCCATTAATTAAGGGAAATGTGAGATGAAAATTTAGATCTTTAATTTTTACCACCCTATCTATTCTACATAAGTTTGGTAGCAGAGCATTGTTATGCAACCAGAACGCGTACTCGACTGAGTCGAGCTTTCTCCCACCTCGGGAGAATGATGCAGACATCCAACGGTGTATGTTAGTCATCGGAAGAGATGAAGATCGACGGCCGAAATCCCTCCATTTATCTTAGTTTATTAATTGTATTTTTAATTTAATTATGCATTATTCATTTTTACCATTACTTAAGGGTCTTGTCTTATGTTAGCCCAAGGGGAAAAGTTGTCTTTTAGTTTCTTTTAAGGCTTATATATAGAGTCCGTTGCTCTTGTATAAGATGATAATGGATTATTAAAAAAATTTTGTATGCGCTCTTTTTTTTTGAGAACTTTGGTGAGATGCCTATGTGAGGGAAGTGTAATACCCACCAGCCGTAGGATGTGTCCGTGCTCGTGGTTGAAGTCGCTAGGTGAGGGCATCGCATCACCCGTCAGCCACAGGATGTGTTCAGGCTCATGGTTTATCTTTTTTCCTTATCTCCTTCCCTCTCTCTTTCTCCACCGGCCACCTTCTTCCATTATTCCTCTCTCTAAATCCCCCACCCTTCTTTAACCGTCGGTTTTCTACCACCCACCCCACCACCACCTCCTAGCCAACAACCCCTTCCCCACCGAAATCCGCACCTCCTCCCTCTTCCCTTGGCTCCATCCATTCAAATCTTGCGTTCAAGACCTTCCAATTTGAGCCCTTCTTATTTTGTGAAATAATTTAATTTCATATTCAAATAAATTTGAATTTTTAATTTATTTCCTGAAATGAGAATTCCTATTTAGGAAAGCTTCTAAATTCATGCCCATTTGAATTTTAAATAGGATTGGAATTAAATCAATCCTTCCTAATTTAAAATTCTAATTCAAGTAAGCATTAATTTCCGTCTCTTAAACCCCTCCCCTCCTTGAAGTTGCTGGGCCCTCATCCACAAGTTTGAATTTCAAATTAAAATAGCCTCTTGATTACTTTTTTAAATTAGTCAATTGTTAATTTGGAAAGCTTCTTAAATTAAATTCTTCATCAATGAGGTATTTCAAAATATGTGTAGGAACGTTATACTATGGATATTTTTATCTTTTGCTATATAGGATGGCCATTTTAATTAGTTGTGGGTCTCCAAAAGAGAATCTATAAGCAGGTGTTAGAATGCAAAGAGTATAATTGCACTATCCCATAGGACAAAATGGTCACATACCTTTACACTCAACTCAAGCAGGTCAATGAAAGAGCAGATAAAATCATATATATGATTATCCATAGAAAATAGCAGCTCTCGCCTACACATTTCTATGGATGATGATATATATGATTCAATAGTCATAAGATTTTCCTCATTCAATACATTAGTTCGAGTGGGGTTTATTTGATGTAAGTATCAGTTTCTTACAGTCATAAGCCCCCTGTGGTTAATTACATCTTAGGTCTTGACTAAAGAATACTCTCGATTAGGGATGATACTGTATTCTCTCCCTGGTTTGGTGCATAGTGGGATTCCTAAGTTTTTCTATTCCAAGGAGGTAGGCTCAATGGGCTCAAAATAGAGGGCTGTTTTGGTGGGAATAAATGGAGCTTATTTAAGGATTATTCTAGAGTTTATGGGGATTAGGTGATATTTGATTTCTTCTATAGTTTTTTTTCTTTGTTGGCGTCCAGGTGATTTGGGAGAGTCGATGTACCTCTCTAATTGTAGATCATGAAATCTCTCTTTTGTTTTGAAGTATAATAAAAAATATCAGCCATCGTTTCTCAATCTATTGCAGTTTTTATTCTGATTCTCATTGATTTCACTTCCAATGCATATCACTATGATACCAATTGATGGTAATAGCACAATAAGTGCGGGGGTAATGGTGGATCAGTGTTTAAAATTTGTTTGAACTAAAGAGTGAAATGTGTTTACAAGCAAAAAAATATTATAGAGCATAAACAAGATATTACCAGAATTACACAAGTAGTAAGAAAGAGCAAAAAAGAAGAACAATCGTCATTTATGTTGTTTGACCTAGATTTTCACAACAAACACTGTCCCTAGGGGCCCAGTGCATCCCAAATACAAGCACTTTAAGCATTCTAAGCATTTTATATAGAAGGTTGCACAAGTTAAAAAAAAAATGTAACCACACAATAAAATATTCTTTTGGTACTTTATCTCTCTTGAAATAGAGCATTAAAGCTTGTAAAAGATGTAGGTACTTTGGCTCACAAGACATGCATAAGTATACTTTTTTATCTCTTTAGGGCTTTATTTGACATAATATGGTTTTTTGTGAGATTTTTTGAAGCAATTTAATGTATATGTGATGCACTATTTATGTCTAAGATAACTATCTCTAAATAACTTATAACAAAACTAAACTCCTTAAACTTTGTCTAAAAGTTAACATTTTGATTAAAACAAAAAGTAATTGTTAGAGCTCGCTGCACAAATCGATTTGATTTTGAGCCAACTAAGCTTGAATAAGCTTGATTTCATGCTAGCTTGAATTTGAATCCAACGTACATGAAATCAATATATATTCTTTGTTTATTATTCTATATACATATAAAAATATATGGGACGCATGCACACATATGTGTGCATGTACATAATTAACAACACACAATCACTCCCTTTCAATTTGATTTCTAAGCAAAGTGCAAGCTTCAAAAATTTCAAGGTATCTCATGCTGATTTTAATTTGAAGTCTTCGCAGTCTGGAGTTCTTTTTCCCTGTAATGTTAGTACACACAAGAGCAAATACAATTCTTCCAAAAAATGTTAGGAGATAACTACACATTTGAACAATAATGTTTGGAATCATCAAAATTATATAAGTTGCAAGAATGTAAAACATGCAAATAGCAACTTTCCTAACAGGGGTGTTATTTGATAAATAAATATATATGCATATAATAAGTATGAATTTTATGGTAGGGATGAGAATGATTGGAGTTGTTGACATGCTAGAAATGATCTAGTTTTCAATGTGTTTTACTATTTTTTGTGTGATTTACTATATTATTTTCAAACGTTCATATCGATCGTACTCTTGTTGAGTCTCAGATGCCGCCTCTGCCATTCATGGTTGATGCATGAGCCTTCTCTTTTGCACCAAGCATTCATAAAATATTCAATCACACAATTCTGATCAATTTCTCTTAACTTGCCTTCGATGTCTGCCCATACTTTTGCTTACAAGATCTTTCTCCTACCAATAGTTGTATTTTTTATGTCATTTAAATAACTTAAACCCGTTCATATCCTAAGCTCACTAGACTTTGGTTTTTCTTGCTTGCCATCATAGTGAATTTGTGTAATTGCGTTCATCTACATCCATCTGATATGAGACAATATCTACTTGGACTTGCCCTTGGAGGGATCTCCAACTCTACTCATATTCATATCATATTGTGATTGCCTTCAACTGGCAAGATTTGTCTTCGTCTACATTTCCTGACGAGAATCATGGCAACAGATATGATTCTACTATTGCAGCCCCTGACACCGTTACTTCCAACAGATCTAATTACATCCTCCCAAATCTCACCGAGATCTACTTCTTATGTTTGAATTTTCACTAGATATGACCACCTATTCTATCATCGGTTTAGATCTCAATCGTTATCTCCATTTTTAAATTTTCTTGAGCTTGAGGGTGAGGTCGGTGTGAAATGGCAGGTAATGTCATGAATAAATACAACGGGGTTAGTTTCAACGCGGGTTTTAGGTATTTTAATCAGTCATTAGGTGTCATTATATGCATATAAATACTCATGTTGAGTATTAGAGCAATCAAGCAAGATGTAAAATCCCTTGAAGTTTTGGCTCTCTCCCTTTCTCCCCGCAATAGTTGGAGCTACGGACTCATTCAATTGCCCAAAAACCTTTCACCCCCATAAGTAGTTGTAGACATTGTAGAAATTGTCTAGTTATCAATGCATTTTACTATTTATCTGTGTTGTACTGTATTTTATTAAAAGTTCATATCAAAGCATGATATAACGACAACTTTGTATGATATTCAATAACAAACATAGACGCCAATAATTCCATATACTGGAAAAGAATGAAGCCGCACATTATTACTAAACTCCACAGTATCATGTTAGATTTTGACAGTCCACCAGCTGAAAGCTTTTATTAGGTTCAAACTGAGTAGCTAACTTTCTATTCTGACCAATTAATAGATCAATCATTGAAGCTTCTTCTTGCTATATGGTATATGATGCTGCTGAAAGAAAAAATGGGTTCAAAATGTCTTTTCGGATTGGCTTTGGCCAGATTGAACCAATTTCTGAATTGACTGCTCACTCTGAGTGTTATCAACGTCATAAACTATGGCTATGTTGAAATATTGATTGACCTCATTATGATATTTACATGCACAGCTAATGCTGTGATATACTTCTTGAACTGCAATTTCCACGGATCTGACTTTTCATAATATTTGTTCCAGTATGATCTCAGCAAATTTTGTCCGTTCAATACAGTTCTGTTTGATCATGGCGATCCTTCGATTAACACAGGTAGCTCAACTCCAAGTTAACTTCTTATACTTGGCTAATTTGAATTAAAAACCAACTAAAACTGACTAAAAAGCAAAAATATCACAAAGAGTATAATAAATAGAAAGGATAAAGGTCATATTTTTCCAGCTCCCACAATCTTTCTTATTATTGCTCGGACTATTAGCTCATCTATTTTCTCAATGCAGTGCTTACAGCTCCAACTGATAAGCCTGGCGTTGCTTTACTTGATTTTGTCATCTTCCCGTCTCGTTGGGTTGCTGCTGAGCACACATTTTGCCCTCCATATTATCATCGCAATTGCATGAGCGAGTTTATGGGCTTGATAAATGGTAGATATGAGGTAAATTTCTCACTTCCTGCCATAATTCGTATACTCAAGGTCTGCGTTGTTTGTTTGTATTATTATTTATTTGCATTAATGCAATATTAGTACAGAACAATACACGGTAATACAGATCAAATACGGAAAATTATTAGGTCCAGACACCGGATGTAGAGATAGGTCCATTAATCAATAAAATGTCGACACGTGGAGTGGACACGTGGATATTCAATATGTTTTAATGTGTCCGCGGAACTTTAAGCCAAACGCACCAAAAGCGCAACTAAAATGCAGGTAAAGCGCAGTCAAAAAGCACACTTAAAGTGCAACTAAAGCGCAGGTAAAAAGTGCACTACACTTGTCAAATTTTTAGTGGATGTCCGGACGTATCTATACATCCGGTGTCCGGACCTAATAATTTTCCCCAAAATACAATCCTCAGCACACCAAAACTATGAGGACCTATATGTACCTGCTGCTGACATGCTTATAATTTCTTATATAGGCAAAGGCAGAGGGCTTTCTCCCTGGAGGGGCTACCATCCATGCTTGCATGACTCCCCATGGACCTGACAATACGACCTATGAGGTAAAATTCTTTCCGACAAATCTGGAAAGAAAAAGAAATTCCGACAAAAAGTGCTTCTGCATTTCTTTTTCATTGCTACAGAAAGCGATTGAACGTGGTGAGGATGCGGGGCCTTACAAAATAAAGGATGCCCTTGCATTCATGTTCGAGTCTTCACTGCTTCCTCACATCTGCACATGGTCTCTGGAGTCTCCTTATAGGGATGCAGACTACTACCAGTGCTGGATTGGTTTAAAATCTCACTTCTCAACAGAAAATGGTAGGAAACTTGTCCAGTTTTGATACAGCTGGGTTTGGATATGACGCAACTCGTATGGTGTGTGTATAGGTGATTGTAGGCAGTAAAGGGTATGCCCAGTTCTTGGAAAATGATGGTGGATTTCGGACTCCCAGACCTACGAAGCGGAAGAGAATGCTTAGTGGATGTGTGATTGGATTTTAAAATGAAGTTCTGGATGCTCAAGAAGAGCATACTAGAGTTATTGAAAATTGTATTCTTATCAATCTTTATTTTTTTTTGGGAGCTTTTAGAGCAAGAATGGCATAAAAAGCACGAACAATTAACCTAAATATTTCTTCTAGCTAAAGCATCATTAGTTTTTAAACCCCCATGGAGAGCCATCCAAGTGAAAACAGAATACTCAAAGCATGATATTTATGCCAAACAAAATTATGCCAACAACACAATCTCATTCTAGAAGAATTCCATGTAATAAGATTTAAAGGCGTCACTAATAGAGATCCCAATTCAAACTCATGGAATTATGAATTGGGATAAATGATATCATATCACTAATACTTCTAGCAAAAGCAGCATGTGAATTCCAATCATTTCAGCAATCAGAATTTTGAGAGGGACATTACTAAGAAAAAAGATCTAAAATATAATGGTCGAATTGAAAATCTATGATGCAACAGCCCTTGCACTAGTGGTCCCAGAGTAAAGAAATGGGGCTATCAACATTAACCTCAAAAGTAAACTTGTTCTTAACCTTTCCAGAAATGATACAGACATTTTTTTCCAAAAGAGGGAAGAATAGGCCTGATGGTGTTTCCAAGGAGAGATATATTTAACAAAGAGCCGCATATGTAGGGGGCAAGAGCATTGTAAAATCCACTAATCAAGGAGCAGGGTCAAGGAAAATCAAAGAGCATGGAAAGCAGAAATAATTAGATCACCCAAATGTTGTCTTACAAGTATTAAACCAATATATGAGGTATAATTTCTTGTCTTTAGTATCACCATAATATAAAAAGTTAGTATGCAACTTCCCAATGAGTTTGCATGAAGACTTAGAAATAATAGAACCACAAATCTAATAAGTGGTACTTTTCCAAATTGTATATTTAAAAAACTACAACCTACCTACAAAAGAGAGAAGTTTAACTTTCCATCAAGACAAATGATTTGTAATCTTCTCCAGTAAAGATATAAAATAAGGGATATAGGGAGGCCCATATATGTGAAATTTGAAGTAGGTTTTTGAATTATGAAAGTATCACTAATGTCATTTGAGAAGGAAGCATCAGGATAAGATAGGAGAACGTTTGTCTATATTCACATGAAGACTAAAAAAATTTGTAAAGGTGTTTAGTATTCCCATAAGACAATTATAGATAGGGATATTGGCATTGCCAAAGGCCAAAAAAATCTACTGCATGTATTAAGTTAGAGAGTTTAAAACCATTCATATAAAATCCGTCAAATCCATTGGATGAGTCTTTAGAGTCAATAAGGAAAGAGAACCCATCCATGATAACACATAATAGGTAAGGACTTAAAGGGCATTCCTACGTAAGGTCAGAGAAAGAGGGAAAGAACACCTCAAGCGCATTGTTAACATAGAAAAAATAATTGACATCACAAATGAATGCTTTTATCCAACCAAAAAAGGAAGGGGGAAAATCTTTTTTAGCATTTTGAAAAAATGGAATTCCTTTGAAATAGTATCAAATGCCTTGCTAATGTCAAACTTAGTACACATGAATTTTTGTTTAACATGCTTCTTGAAAATCCTTGGTAATTCAGAAGACAGAATGACATTTGTCAATAGAGATGCGATGTTGAATGAAACTAGCCTAGCTCGGATGGATAATACTTTGCATGATGAGTTTTAGCTTAGAAGCCAAGATCATTGAAATAACCTTATAAAAAGTATTACGTAAAGATATCATCATAAAATCAGATAAGTTATTAACATGAGGCTTCTTGGGGATCAAAGCAAGAGTAGTAGCCTTGATACATCGAGGGAGATAACCTTTAAAGAAAAAGGAATTAATAGCCTTGAAAATTGAATGGCCAATAATAAGCCAACCATTTATATAAAAATAAAAATTAAAACCACCAGGGCTAGGGGATGAGGATGAGGAGCAAAAAAAAATCTCTAATTTAATTTCTTCATCAATCACATGCATAATAAGAGATGCAAAGTAGTGGTGGGGGATGGCTAGGCTAGAAGACAGGGAACTAATGTCACACTAAGGGGGAGGGGGAATGTAAAGTTCTTTGAAATGTTGCATAATGTATATATTAGCATCATTCTAGTTAGAAGAAGAACCATCCAAAGCATAATAAATAAAATTCCTGTTGTAGTAACTCCTAGTGCGAATTTTGGAGTAAAGTAACCTAAAATCCTCTTCTCTATTTATGATCCATTTAATTTTGAACTTTTGAATGATCTAAGAGGGCCAAGAAGAAGTACTATCAGTAACTTGATGATTACTAAGCTTGAGATTATCACAAAATATTTTATTCAATGGTTCTAAATCTACTTATATTTGACATGCCTCTTCTTGGGCATGAAGATCAACATGGTTAGAAACAATTATGTTAAAGGAGGCCCAATTCTTAGATTTAATCATAACTATAAGCCTCTCTTACTTTTTTAAAGATCAGCAATGGGGTTGCCTTGAGAGTGCTAAGTAAAATAGATGTGATAGTGACCTAGTCATTAATTTTAGTTTAATAATTTTTATACAAAAACATGTGACTAAATGAAGAGTGAACTTCAATTTGTAAGATAATAGGGCGGTGATCAAAGGAGTAAGGTAAGACTCTATAAAAGGAATAAGGAAAATTTTCCATGCATGGTTCATTGAGCAAAGCCTTATTAAGATTAAGTTGTAAGGGTTGATAACACATTGATTAAACCAAGAGTATAAATTCTCAACAGAAGCATGGTCCTTGAGATTGACATAAAAATAAGAGAATTAAAGTCCTCAAGTTTGATGTTGTGAATTACATTGAAAGTTCAAATGTGGGTTGTTAGAACTACTTCGACTACAAAAGCACACTAAGAGAGAGGGTGAATTGAATTTTAAGATTTCCCTTTTAAATTATCCCTTTTAAAAGATTATAATATTTTGGAAAAATAATATGGACTAGCAAAGAAAATTATTTTTTATTTGATTTTTATAAAAATAAACTTGCAATGAGAAATATTTATTTCTTCTTCTTTTTTTTAATTTTTTTAATTCTCTTTTGGAGCAAAATAAAGATATATTTCTAATGCAAACCAAAACTCATAAATCACAGATTTTGTTGTAAATATAATGTAAGAAATGAAATACAGAAAAGTAAAAGCAAACAAACCAAGAATAAACACACTAGAATTTTTATAGTGGTTTGGTCATCCTTGATCTACATCCACTCCCTGAAAGTTCTTAAAGGTTGTTAAACTTCTAAGAACTAGAGAGGGATGAATTGGCAATTTAAAAACTTCTTAAGCAAAAATAAAATATTTTTACACTTTTTCAAACATTAAATTTAGAAGATTTCAACAATGACTACAGATGCGAATAAATTCATAGTAACAAAACAAATCAGAGTTTTCAACCACATGGTAAATCAGATAAAAGTGCAAAAATTAAAATGCGAAAAAGTAAAAGAACGAACACACCATATTTTATAATGGTTCAATCAAATCAAACATATGTCCACTCCCCGAAAACCTCTGTTCCAAGTATTGCACTAAATCTTTAATGGCTCTCCTTTAGCCCCCTCGCTAGGCAGAGAAGCCCTTATAGAATATCTTCCACCAACCCGGTGCGTTAGAGGACTTGGAATTCTTTTTCACCCTCCTAGTGAAGGTAGAGAACATTGAATCATCATCCTCGATGAGACGGAGTTGCCGGGTCTTTCGACACCAAATATATCTTCTTCTTCCCAAAACCTCCCTCAAGACAAACCTTGACTATGATGATACTTAGGTCCAAGTTCATCTGAGCAATAATTTGAAACACCCTCTCACACTCCCTTGAAATCCACAAAGATCTTCTCCCTCTCTCAAACTCCATCCTTTCCTCTCTCAAGCTTAAGGCTCTCTCTTTAAGTTTTCTCTAGAAGAAAAATAATTTAATGAATGTCAAAAGACAATTACAAAGTCTTATGAGAAAGCTTAAATAAAAGGCTTCAAAAAACCCTAAAATTCAATTTAGCCATCAAAGATCATACAATACGATCTCAGGATCATCTAGTATGATGTGCAAAATTTAACTTATCAGTGTTGTACAATCATACAATGCGATCGTAGGATCATCTAGTACGATGTGCAGAATTTGACCTATCAGTGTTGTATGATCACTAGTTAGTATAATATGAAAAGTTAAAATTTTCTTGTTGTACTATACGATCATTAGTACGAATGACCAATGGTACAGTTTGATTAGTTCAACCAAAATACAGTCTGTCCAGGATGAATCATGGATGACCAAATTTTATGTCTATTGATCATACAATATGATCCAATTCGTATAGTATTTTCAAAATATGAAAATTAAACAGATTTGATTTTTTAATCATAGGATTAAATTAGATAATATTTTAAACATTATATAGTACGATTAGGTTCGTACAGTACAAAAAAATAACTTTTAAAATTTAAAATTTTGCTTAATTTAATGAATAGAGGGCTTTCTAATTATAACATAATATCCAAATATGGTGTTCATACTATATGATTAGTTATTGTTAAAAAATATTTTTTTCAGATAAAGAAAATATTTTAATTAATTTATATAATAATAAATTCTCTAGCATGATATTGATTGTATAGTATGATGTGTAGAAAAATAAAATATTTAAAATTATTTCCCCTTCCCTTATGTGTGTGTGTGTGTACAATCACTAGGCTATCATAGACCCTTATAGGACTTGACTCAAGAATCTCAAACTTTTACAGCATAACCTATTCTACCCAATCTTGAGTTTTGAATTTTCGTTGGATGGTGCATGGTGTTCCTAAAATATTAGCACACACACAAATAAATATAGAATGCAAATACTATGAGACATAAATATATGAGCCACATGTTTATTATCATAAAAAATATAAACTTGTGAGCTCGAGTTACAATAATTTCCTCCTTTTTTATGGTGACAAATATTACTGGTTTAATTTACAAACTAAAAAATATTTTCTCTTGATCTCCTCCTCAATAAGATAATTATATTAAAAATAGTGGAAATCAAAAAGTTTTTTTTTTTAAACTTTTAGAAACTAAATAATAGATAAACTAATGCAAATATAATATAAACATATGAAACTTAAACATAAATACAACCTTCCAAA